GGACGCCTTTGACCACTGCTCTACAGGCGCCCCTTTGTTTTTATTCTTAATAACCATTAAAGTTAACATCTTTGTCAACAAAGTTCGAGTTCATTTTTCCCATCTCATTGAAGTGCTGCATTTCTGGGATTTATGTAGAATTTTTTCTTTGTTGTTTATCGTTGGAGCTCATATCTCGGAAAAGGGATGTGATTGAACAGGCAGGATTTCCTACGAGAAGATTGGTGCCCCGAATGCGTCGTCGATGTCAGCGACTGTAGTGCGTGGTTACAAATTTAATGTTTTACATTTCATTCCTGATTTCATGAAAACAAATTTGGAATTCGAATGACGTCTGGGGAAATCGTGCATGCTTTCAAAACAGTACAATCTATTTCGTGTCAAGTTTCACAAGTGCTTTAGTTGTCAAGGAATTATCGGGACTAATGGGAACCTTTTCAATGGCTTTCATCCTCATCGTTCCCAGGCAGGTGGTTTTAGATGCAGATGCAGAGTTGTGATGTGGAGTAGGGGTTTCATTTCATACCAGGGTCTCCAGAACAGAAATAATTCGACATAAGTTTAAATTGTTGGGCTTACACGAGGTTTATAGAGATGTTGCTAACGTTTCGACGTCTTCATCAGAGCCGAAGATTCAAGTCGATAGTCCACAATTGTTCGTCTTCTCGTTATGGGGACTTCGTGCTCGTATCGAATCGGATCTTCCTCAGATATTCTCTTACCTATATCTGATCACATCGAAAAAATAATCCCACATGTCCACTCAGAAGCACAGCTAAAAGCGGGCCTGTGTAATGGCAAAGTATGACGTTTTTTATATTTCATGCTTACTCTATTGCACGACAGAGACTGCGAGCAGTTCCAATTAGTCGATAGAGAATAATAGAATAAAAAAGTAGAGAATGAACTACAGTTAGGAGGTAACCAAAATACCACCATTGATCACTATTTGTTAGTATTCCTTATCTTTTTGAATTTCTCTTTTCATGTTTTGTCGGTTACTTGAAACATTGCTATACCATTAGAATGTGTAGATGAAATCTTAACAAATTTCTGACGTCAATTCATGGAGTGCTCTAACTTCTACCCTTGCTGATGCTGTTTGCATTTAGTTGGCCTTCTTCCTCAGTTCTAATGATCTTGAAGTAACACTAACTGCTCATACAGTTCGAATATTTTCAGTACCTTACACGGCACCCTAACACATGTTTGGCATTCAGTGTTGGAACTTGCGGATTTGAAAACGTGCGATTATCCAGTTTGTTATATCTCTGTAAATTATATGCACAGTCATGGTGGTACTGAAGTATTTGCAAAATTCCGAACCGCAGGCGTCAGTGGTGGGGATCGAACACGCTCTTACCCTTACCGGGGCTAACGCGTTCATCACCACATCATGCGGGTCTTTCATTTCACCTGTCTCGCCGTGGTCTTGCAAATCCACTGTCCACTATTTTTCCCACTTCATCGAGCTCATTGAGCACTGTCTCTGCTTCACTGGCACCCCTCAAAAAGACGACGGTCGTCGGCGAAGCGAAGGTTTGGTAGGAATTTTCCTTTAATACGTACGTCTTTCTCATCTCAGTCAAGTGACTTCATTATCTACCGCAGTGCGACACTAAGCAGCTTTGGCGATATTGTGTCGCCTTGCCGAACCCCTTTTGCTATAGGTATGCTAGAACGTAGGAAAAGCTGCATATTTGTGCTGCAGTTCCAATAACAGTCTGCTAGTGTTCGCACAAACGACGAGTCCAATCTTTGGTTGGCGAGCGCTGATAGGAATGCAATCCTTTTATTGCTGTCAAGCACTTTTTCGTAGTCGATAAACTGCTTAAACCAAAAAAATCTCAGCTCACGGCGAAGTTCAAATAGAACTGATAGTTTCTACAAATGTATGCCAAATTGATAGGAGTTTTCGTACTTTGGCAAGACGAATTTCTGGTCTTCTTGACCACGCGAAATGAATGCTTACAGAGTTTTTTTTCATTGTGACTCGTGCTTTGGACATCACAACAGTTGAAAAAGCGGGATTTCTTCGAGCAGAACACAATGGTGTTCCCCAATATGTCCTCGATTATTTGCGACGGCTGCAGTTACGTTTCAGGACAAACACTGTTGGAGAAATACACGAACCGACGTCACACATTGTGGAGACTTCAACGTTTCTTTTCGTTGATTTGTTTCTTTACATAAATCATCCAGAACTGCTCTCGCATTCACGTGTGGATTTGGCTCCTGCTTGAGGATTTCTGATTTTTACCAATGTTGTTGATTGCTCGTCGAATAGATCTTTTCTGAAATCCTGAGATAACCGTGCTAGGGAATTCTCAACTCATTTTCACAAACACTCACGAGCCTTTATGCATCGGAGAGATTTTCAGTGAACTCTGTCAACAATTCACAAAGCCCGGAGGGATGGAAGACGTTGTTGGCCTAGGGCGGGACCGGGTTCGTACCAGTACCTTGCGCATGTTATTCAATGGCATGTCTATCACTGTTTCTGGTGCCGGAATAATGTTTTACAACGATTACATTTACAATTAAGGCGGTAGGGCAAAGTGTATTTTGTATATCTTTAAATTACGTAGGTACTCCAATGATCAGGAAATTATCATAAATTATGGGAAAACCTGCGCGTTGGGGCAGATTTCCTTTTTGAGATTCATAGTTGGAGTTGGTGAAAGCTTGACATTCTTGGTCACCTTTCAGTGAGTGATAAAACATTGGAAGAAGTGATTCGCTGCCATCCCTATCGAGTCTTCAGATGTAATACCGTAATGTGGCCATTGCTAGCAATAAAGTTGAAGAATACGTCAGAATATATTATTCTTTTTTTATTGCCTGCATCGGAAAATCATACTCGGTTTTCTTTCTTTTCTTTTTTTTAGTTTTCTAAACTCGTCTAATTATTCGTCAGAGAAACGCGTAGGTGATGTTTTGCGAGTCATGTTGCTTAAGAAATCCCTACTTGTTAGACGTGGGTGAGGGAAAGGTAGAAAAGGAAGGGACATCGCTGAGAGCGCTATAGGATTACCTTCGAGTAAGCGAAAAGGTGTCTAAAGAAAGTGGAAGAGTGGGAAAAAGAAGGAGAGCAGAAAGGAAAGAAAATGGAGCTTAGTGTTGAAAGACGATCTCGAATATACTACCATGGCTTTAATCATTAGTTGCTATTAAATGTTAGGAATCTCGTTTCTTTTCCTTTTAATGGAAGATATCAGTGCTGGATTTGTACGGAAGTGCAAGCATAAAAATATAAATGTGCTACTGTACTGACTCTATAAGTGATTAGTTACAGAGCGTGGATAACTTGTATTAGCTCTCGCTTTGACGCAAGAAGGTAATGTAGTCACTTTTGTACCACTTACGCTCAATACAACCATAAATTACGCCATAGAGCCTTGCTGTAAACCGCTGTAATTATTCAGAAATTATTTTAATTATTTATTTTCCGACTTATTTCGCTGCGCGTGTGGCGCAGTGGTCGGAGGCGTCGTACAACACACATGGGATCGATCCCCACACCAAAGGCTCACCAAGCCTTCCATCCTTCTGGGGTCGGCAAATTGGTGCCAAATTTGTCTGGGAGGAAAGAAACGCTGGTTAGATGAATCGGTGGGTCACCGCGAGTCTTCAATCACCTCCAGTGATGTTTAATGGAGTCGAATACATGGCGCATCCCTCAGGGATTAATCGACGCCGAAGGCTTTATCCTTTTATCCTTTATTTCGCTACGCAGTCTCCTTCACGTCAGTGGCGACTTTCGATTTCACATTACACTCAAGAAGCAATGGACACAGTGTATCTATTCTGTCTAATTTCGAGTCGAATAATTGAAAACTTTTTTAAAAAAAACCTTCGAGATTTTGATATTTTTTATCGACATGTAAAAGCTTAGCTTTAGAATTAGAATAGAATTAGAAGCTTAGAATTAGAAAGCTTTAGAATAGAAACTTTAGAATTTCCACCAGAGAGGATTTTTCCCTATTCATGTTTTTTAGTTTTGATCGCCACGAGCTTGAGCGCGCCCTCCTACAGAGTCTTCAGGAAGAACGAACACGAGAAAAAGAAAAACCGATCAATAGGAAACTCAAAGCTGAAAAAGTAAGTGTTGTTGTTAATATCTACCAATAATTTTTCGGAAAATAGAAGTAACACATTTTTATGCTGAGTTTGATAGGGACTGAAGACAAAGACTGTAGTTAAGCTGATTTCTAAAAAGAAGGCAGTGAAAGGAGAACAATCTCCTAGTATAGCTGAGGAAAACAAGAAGATTACACAGAAGGCAAGTTTTAATCTGACATAATGTAGAGTGATTTCAATCCTTTTATATTGAGAATTCTTCCTCTGCTAGTTATGTTTGCTTCAATAATTTTGACATGTATCGAGAAATTTTTCAGAAAGTCGATTCGTCACGAAAGGTTGCTGTAAAACAACCTGTTCTACTGAAAAAGGCGAAATCAGCATCACCTAAAAATACAACCAAAGCTGTCCAGAGCAGCCCAGAAGGAATTAAGTCTAAGAATAAGACATTGAAAAGGAAGCAAGGCGCGCCAGAGACGAATCGTAACGAAGTAACTGTAACTGAGGACATTAGCAAACCAGAGACCTCGATTTCAAGGCAGGACACTCAAAAAAAGTATTCGTCTAAGAAACAAGCTGGTAAAGGAAAGGTACTTATAGAAGAAGTAAAACTACAATTGTTGGAGGATTCCCAGAGAGAGAAAGCGGTCGAGGTTCTCCAGAAAGAGGAGGCGGTCGAGGCTCCCCAGGAAGGAGAAGTGGACGAGGATCCCCATCCCCAAAAAACAAGACCAGACGCCAAGATTCGGCGGTTACCTCCGTGTCGAACGCCAGCTAGAACTAGCGATCTTATCACGCTGTTAGCTTGTACCAAAGAATTCATAGGGGACGCGGAATATTCGAGTGATCAAGACTAGTGCCGCCACGCTGCGAAAACTCACAAATTCGCTCCAGCTAACACCAAAGACCCTATTGCTTGAATGAAAATAGTCATGCACCTTTTATTACTATCACTTTGCTATGCGTTTTCTTTGCTCATATTTCAAAGTGGATTTCTACTCAAACGAAAGGAACTTCAAATGCGAAGTCAGTGCAGTGATGCAAAGTTGTACAATTCGAAATGTTGGATGCAACGACAATACAAAAGGGTAATAATTTCTCTCAACGTTTTGTATTTATTGTTTTTTTTATGAGCGTTAACAGGTCCCATACAGCATCGCAATAGAATACTTGGATACTGGAATGGCCCGTCCTCACTGGTTGTGCGGGCCCCAGCATAATCTCCATTTTTCGAAGATTTGCTGGTTAAGCCATTATGGTTCCCTGGAGTCCCGAGGTCAGCCTGGCCAAAGTATGCCCCTGATCTTCACCACCGTAGGCAGTCGCAACCCTTATGGATCAGAGTGAAATTTGCTACCATACGACTAACTTGATACCAGGCGGTGGTGGATCCTGGTATGAGTTTGGTCTTGTCTGGGCTTCCTGATGGAAACATCGGACTCCTCCTCAGCTTGAGAGACTGCTAGGTGGATGAGGGCTTCCACTGTACATTGCAGACCACACCCAGGAACAGTTCCCAACCACAATGAGCCGGTAAACCGTAGAGAGGAATGCGCTTTATTATTAACGGTTGAGCATTCTTTTAGCTTCTCGTTGAAATCTACCAAAACAGTGTTTCTTTAATAGGTAGTTGTTCTGTTGGTGGACGCTCTTCGTTACGATTTTATGGTACCACCTGAAGACGGTGCTCCCCTGTCATTTTTTCGTGGTCAAATGCCTGCTGTAGCTAAATTGATGACACGTGGTGGACAAATAGGGCTATTGCTCGCCGATCCACCTACTACTACACTTCAAAGGATTAAGGCCCTCACAACAGGTATATCGAGCGATTCATCTCTTATTTGGTTCATATTATACTGAGTTTCAGGAACTCTGCCCACCTTCATTGATGCTGGTGATAATTTTTCACCTAGCCCTATTATTAATGAAGATAACATCTTCTTTCAAGCTCGGAGCTGTGCCCTTAATGTAGCTTTCATGGGTGATGAAACCTGGCATGTTGTGAACTATTGTTTTGCTTTAGAATTTTGTCATTAATTTTTAAACTTACTTTTTTCAAAATTATCTGTCATTGTGCGGTGAATTTGAAAGTGTTTTCTTTAGGACTTCACTCTATCCAGATCTTTTCACACGTGCTCATCCATTCGACAGTTTTGACATCAACGATCTCAACAGCGTTGACGATGCGGTTAAAGGTGGTAGTTCTGCCAAACAGTTTTTCTAAACCGCAAGGATACTGAGATCTGAACAATACTTAGAACCTCATGTGTGGTTCCAAATCCCAATTACGCTTTCCCACGTTCAGTTTTTATTTACTATGGCGGTGCTAATAGCAATCACCCGTCAGCGGGAATGATCTGGAGAGCGCAAGGCGGCATTGAATCCAGAGGGTATGTAACAGCAGGTTTGAAGCCCAGCTGTTCCGAGTTTTGTTCATATCGCGACATCCTCATGTGTGTATTTGGCAGAATACGCTGCCTTGGAAAAAGAAGAATAGGCAATAAATAAAAGGTTAGACAGAGACATCTTTATTTCCGCGTCAGCGACAACAATCTCTTTTGTAGCAAGGTAAACAGCGGGAAAGAAAAAGAACCCTGTTGTCTTTTGCTGCAGTAACCTCCTGGAAGAAATCAGAATTATGCAACCTCTTCGGCATTCAGCAAATGAGCATCAGTGATAAAACGGAGGGAAAAACGAATTCTCAAACCAGAAGCTCAGGGTTTCATTTTAATCGATAGACTAAGCCTGTTTTTTGTTATTAAGGTTATGGAGATTCTTTCTAATTATTTTGATTTCAGCTACTAGTTTAAGTTGAGTCTGGACTGAAACAAGTGTGTTTTATGTTGAAAGGACAAAATATTTTACACTATGAGTTACTTCTGTACGAATCATCCTCTGTCCATTCTATTATGCACTCATTCATGCAATCGATTTATCTAGATGTGACATTAGATTAGCTGAGAGGCAGGCGAAACGAAGGACCCGCTTGGTGTGCTGGTGAACGCGTTAGCCCCGCAAAGCAAGCGTAATAACTGGTTCGTTCCCCATCGCAGACACCTGTGGTCCGGAGTTTTGCAAATATCTGAGCATCATTGTGGTTGTATGGCATTATATTTCGCTTCTTATCTATTCTTCCGAATTATTGCAGTGCTCTTACGGGCCGAGCTTGCTCAGTCACCGGCTGCGGACCTAGTAATCGCACACCTGCTTGGAGTGGATCATTGCGGTCATAAATATGGACCGAATCATATTCAGATGTCCAACATTTTGTGGAAGGTCAGTTCACCGGTTCATAGCAACACCATTGTCGATATTGTTGCAATATTACTGCGTAGCGCTGAATTCAGATGGACAAGATCATAATGGAAACGGCAAACGCGCTATTCGAGAATGACCTTCTGATTGTTTTGGGAGACCATGGTATGACGACCACGGGAGACCATGGTGGTGACAGCGATGATGAGACGCACGCTGGTCTCTTAGTCTGTAACTCTAATAGTCTATTAGTATATAGCTTACTCTGACTCGAAATGAAATGAGAATGATTTCCTGTGATATGTATGTCTTCAGGTCTACTCACCTTCTCAAAAGTTCGGTATTCTTCCTGGCGACCTTCGACAAATTGACCTCGTACCAACGATATCACTTCTTCTAGGCCTCCCTATTCCATTTTCAAATCTTGGAGTCGTTATTGGTTCTTTGTTTCCCAAGAATCTCACCAATCAAGCAATCGCTCTGAACTATGAACAAATGCGAAGGTTACTGTCTCTTACACTCTATAATTGGCTTTTTTTAGTTTATTCTAAGTTAGTTGGTTTACGAGGTCGCATACAGCGGAGGATTTAGAGGTGCTCTGCACTTCACTAGTGGTTCAACCTCGGACTCCACGAATTAACCAAGTTATCTCTTCTTCTGGGCTAACTCAAAAAATTGTTACCGGGCTTATACGGCGGTATTGAAACAGTGAATTAGTGTATCGTTGGACACTGAAAGCCATTTTATAAATGGAATATGCATTTATTCACATTTACGTTGTTCGATAGAGCCGAATAGTTGCCGCATCCCTTAAGGATAAATTAAGGCCAAACACTTTCTTCCTTGTTCTTTATTGGGCGACTGGAGTCTTTAGTAATTGCTGTCTTGTTAAATGCGTCGTACGGATGCCATAAATCGTTTTTAATGAAAGAAAATCCAATTCTTTCAATTCCAGGTTCGCAAATACTTACGCCACTGCTAATCCGTCGTTCGAGTTTTCTGAAATCCTTGCTCATGATACTACTGTCCCTGTGGAGCAACTAAGGCTAGCTTTATTTTACTTTTGTGTTCTTTATTGTACAGAATGCAAGTTTTGTTATTCTTCTGAATGCTTCCACATTTGCCAGATGAAGGTCATCAGTTTTTTCATGAATTTTCTGAAGAGGGGATCATTGTTTTATCGGTACAGTTCTTTTTCTAAGCATTAGATTTAGCACAATGCGTCGTCTGCAAGCTTCTCTACGCGCTGCATGGACTCAGTTCGACCTTTCTTTAATGAAGCTGGGCCTACTTTGCTTCGTAGAGGCGTTGCTCTTCACGCTCTCTTTTCGACGTCTTACTCTTATACATTATGTGATGCGTTCTGGTTGCCTTCTGCTTCAGTTATCACTCATTCTTGGTGGTTCTAGCGAAAGCCTAGCTGTACCATTATTACTGGTGCGTTTTTTTTTTTGGTTATTTATCCTTTTCACTAGCCACTCGTCCATTTCATCATTTTTCAGTTCGTCCTCCCTTTGTCAACAGTTCACTCAGTTATTTCTCTACTTTCGCAGATACTTTCTATGCGTATCTCATACTTTTCCGTAGTATTTGCGTACGTCTGTGTTGGCCTACATTCAGTATCCTTTCTGTCGAATAGTTATGTGGTCTATGAGGGTCATGTTGTGAGATTTCTGACCCAGAGTGTTTTGATCGTATCCGGTATTGAGAAAGTCATAAGGTGATTTATCGTGTTCTTCTTAAAATCAATTTGTTTCTGATGTTTCTTATTGGCGGGACGTCATCGTAGTTATTACTGTGATATAAAATGTGTCGTCAAAGTTGATTTATAATTTGTCAGCTGTTGATATACTTATTCGATTTTCATGAGGGAGTGGGTAGCCCAGTGGTAGTGTTCCTGTTCATTACGCAGGTGGCTGAATCTACCCTGACCGTAGTTCGACCGCCCGTCAGACCTCATGCCTCACATCCAACGTTGTCGGAAAATTGGCACCAAACTAGTCTAGGACAATCCGATTCCCAGTGTTCCACGTGTAAATGCTCCAGAACGACCACCTCCAGATTCCAGAGAGATTGGACTCTGCCAGCATTCGACTACATTCGTGACGAAAATGGAAAAAAATCCTTAGGTAGCAGAGGAAGCCTGCATTTCTGACCTTCACAATGACTTTGTGGTAGCCTGCCGATGTATCGAGCCAGTGCTGCTATCCGTCCAGACAAGTCTGGTACTAATTTGCCGACCCCAGGGGGTGAAAGGCTTGGTGGGCCAGAGACGTGGAAAACGATCTCATGTGTATTGCAGACCGCCTCCGACCACTGCTCCACACGGGCCCGTATAATGTATAATCTAAATAACATATTAATGTCTCTGCAACTTAACTGTGACTCTGTGAGTTTCTGGTTTTACAGTGAAAAGGTTGATCGAAAAACTCAGCTACGCACGTCTTCAGCTTTTTCTGCTATCTGTTATTCGATGAAAACTTGGGACCTGGGTTTATTATGTATTTCTCTTCTGCTTATTCGATCTGAATCATTTTTTCATCGTTGTCGAGAAGAGGAGGTCAACTGTCACCAGTCAATTGCTTTAGAGTTACTGACTTCGTTATCACGTACGTTTTATGTTAACTTCTTATTTTACACTCTGCATTTCTATATTTTATTCCTGAGGATTTTTTAGCCGATTAGTCGAGATGCTGTATAGTATGTTCCCAGATGGTGAATAAGGAGTAAGCGTTATAAGACATAACTGAATTGAGGGGATTCAATCCCTCTTACTGATTACAAATAACCCTCTGTATTTACTTAGATGTTTCCATGCATTACTGGATTTGTTTGCGTAAATGCGACTTGCAGTGTGGGTTGTTTGAACCAAAAACCTGCAAACAAGCGACCACGTCCTTATTATATACACGCTGGCTTGGGGTCCTACGAGGTCCATTCAGCCACGAACATATGTTTGAACTTGCAGCGTTCTGCGAAGAAGTAATAGAAAGAGATCTTTGATGTAAGAGAAACCATTTGAAGCTGCGGTTGTTGCAGATATCGTCAGGATACCTGCCGACACTACCAGTTCGAAGACCATGATAATCACCCTGAGGTGACGAAATTGAACAGTACTATATCCAGAAGGGCAGTGGAAGAATCTATCTGCAATTTTTCAAACGATCTGTTCATTTGCAACCTCCATGTGCTTCCCACGGGATTATATTTGAACATCTGAAGACCTGCCCATCTAGTCTGCATTAATAAGATGGCTCAACGCTACATATGTTACCCATCTGATCACAAGGTTCCATATCAATAAAAATGCAGCGGGAGTATTTTGTCGCACAAAAAGCAGACTAGTGACATTACCAACTGTCTCTACTCTACTTCCTGTCGTTTACGAACTGATTAGTCAAGTCTTCCTCAACAGGTTTTACAAAACATTGTACAAATGACGTACATGCGATGAAGGTTTTCAGAAAAGATTCGGCGGAATCGCTCACGTCCACACTTAACGAAGCTAACTGAATTATCGCGATACTACAAAAGATCATTTCATCCGTTTAAAGAAAAACTTCTTTAAATCATGTGAAACAGAATGAATCACGGAAGATTTGGACAAACAGCATACAAATACCCTTGTACTGTATTACGGGGCGCATGTAACACAGTGGTCGGAGGCGCCCTGCAATACATTTGGGATCGATTCCCGTGCCTTAAGACCACCAAGCCCTTCATTCGCAAATAGGTACCAGACTTGTCTGCGAGGATAGCAGCACTGGCTCGATACATCGATAGGCCAAAAATATCGAATCACTTCCAACAATGCTGAGATATTCGTAGTACTTGGGCTGGATCGAACCACGACTACCCTTTTTGGGGTTCGCGTATTACACACTGCACTACTGAGGCCCACGCTGTGCGTTTTTCTCTATGGTTTTCTACCCAACGCTGCCACCAGCAATCACCCGTCATCGGGATATACGCAAGCCTCCGGGAAAGGTAATTGTGGTTCGATCTACCCCGGGTTCCAACTTTTGCGAATATCTCAGCATCGTTGTAGTTGTATTTCACATCATACCCTGCCATAAAAAATTATAGTAGGTAGTAAATAAAAAAGTTTGCATTAAAGGTTAAAGTTGTCTTTGGAAAGCGACCCAGGATTATATGTACTGCTAGTAAAAGCACCCCAACTCTTTTGCTTACTCATTATGAGCATGATATCGTTTTGAACTCAAATCTTAGGAGTGACTTCGATGTTCTACAATTTTTTTATTCAATTCTCAGCGGATGCTTTGTTATGGCGTATGGTCCTAGCAACGACTCTGGTGTTCTCATGGAACATCTTTATTGGATGTATTCTACCAGATACCATTCCTAACTCTCTTAGAGTAAGACTTTCCAATCAGTTTCAAATGTCTTGAATGTAACACTCATGTTGTTTCGTTATTTCAGGTGGCGCGGGCTTTATCGTGGCCGATGTACGTTGGCCTCACTCTGTACCATTTAGTGCAGTTGTATCCACAAACTGAAACGATGCAGAAAAGAATACAGTTATTGAGTATTACAATTGCCCTTGTACGTTTACATAGAAATGACTCTCTTCTTTTTGAATCTTATAACATTGAGCTATTTTTGATTTCACAGTTGGTGCGGAGGCAAATGTGATTTTGTCCAGTGGAACAGGCTTGTAGGTAGTATTAGTGCAGTCGTGTTGAAAGACAAAGTGTAGAACAAAATTTTTGGTTAGGGGTGGATTTTCGGTCAGACTCTTTTTTGCTTCTTCATTAATTCCTGGCGTTTTTCTACACTTTTGTGTTATTCCCTTACTCCTTTTTGATTTGAGTCCGAGGTTATTTAGTAGACAGTACACATTGCTTATAAATGAAAAATATTAATTTCTCGAGCCAAGTTAGCGCATCTGGAGTATTACCACTTATCGTCAGTTAGCGTTTTCTTTGTAGTCTGTGGATGATGTAATCGTGAACTGTGTATTACCAGCGAAGATGAAGTTGCGCTCTATTTATCCATCTTCGTTCATTTTAGTGCAGGCTCCTACCTGCTTTACCGCCACATTGAGGACTTGGAAAACGGTTTTCACAATGTTTATATTTTCCCACAGATTTCCCTCTAGTGGTGGATGTCCAGCGATTTACAAGGTTGTCTACGAACCACTTTTACAATGTCAAGCTTGATTGGAGTCGATTTAGAAGATACACAAGAAAACTTGTAAACGTGAACTAACGAATATTTATACATTCATTTAGAAATTGAATTGGAGAAAGAAGGGTCACGGTATCCTCCCAACGGTTTACCGCCTCATCCTGGCCAGGTGTTGTTCCTGAGTGTCGTCGGCCTGCGATCTACAGCGGAATGATTCATCCCCTCTCCCAGGCTGTGAAAAGTCCGGCGTTTTCATCGGGAAACCCAGCTAAGTGTAAACCAATACCAGGGTCTACCACCGTCTTGGTATCAAACTAGTCGCATGGTGAGAAATCTCGCTCCGATCCATAAGGGCGGCGATTGCCTGTGGTGGTGGCGACCTGGGGCAGAGTTCAACCAGGCTGACCTCAGAACTCCAAGGAACCGTAGTGGCTAAACCAGCAAAACTCTTAAAAATGGAAATTTTGCTGGGGCCCGAACAACTGATGAGGACGGGCCATCCAAGTATCCAAGTGGGGTCACGATATCCACTTTTGAGGTATATTTACACGACAAGCGTATAGTTGTTTTTTGACGTACTGTTGTTTTTGAAATGTGCTTTCTCGAGAATACGATTGGAGAGTTAAATATAACTTCATTATTAAGTGGGTATTGGCGTTGAGGATCCTTGTTTCGGTAGTGTTGGTGGCATAAAAGGTGAAAATATTGTCCTTCAATACATGATTTAGTAAGATTCCGTGCAATACGGACAGTGTGGGCTGGTGATTCAATCTCGTACCTTAGGCTAGCGAAACTCGCCTAGATGTGCATTCGCTCACCTCTAATAATGGTTGATGTCATCGAATGCATGAACCATCCATCAGGGATTGATCAGAAAATAAAAAAGGTAGACATTGTGATTTCAACTACAGCCTGAGCTTAACTGGGTTCACTGCCGATGTGGGCTAGCTCCCCAGATCAGTCCCGTTGACGGGTGATTGCTGATGGCACAGATCGATAGAACTAGCTGAGAGACAGGTGAAACGAAGGACTCGCATGGTATGGTGGTGAACGCGTTAGCCCCAGAAAGGGTAATAGCGCGTTCGTTCCTCAACGCAGACACCTGTGGTCCGGAGGTTTGCAAATATTTCAGCGTCGTTGTGGTTGTATTTCACATAATACTATGCCGTAAAAATTGTAGTACGCAAGAAGTAAAAAAAGTAGACATTGTAAGAGAGCAGTTTGTTTTAGGTGGTGTACGCATGCTCTGCTGCTGCTACAGTTATATGCATCTGTACCCAGACGTAAGCGTTCTAGTATTATGTTTTATCCTAGAATTGTTTAAATATCTACTTTATTATCAACACCTTATATTGAATATTATTCTCACAGTTTAGTGGTCCAAAAAGAGTGGTTTATCTCTGCTTAGTGAACAGTGTTTGTGGTCCTCTCCTCCTTCT